GTTGGTTAGCTAGCTGGCTCGTGGACGGGACCCAGCTGTGCCGAAGCCAGAGGCCAGCAACATGGAAGTCGAGGGTGCAGCGCTCGCGGAAGACAGTGCTATGCAGGAGCCAGGTGCGAAGGTAGGCGCTGCTCCTGGCGTTCAGGCACGGCAAACGCATGAGTTACGCCAGTAGAGCCGTGCACGGCATGGACATCTGGCAGGTGCCACCGCCACCTGCGAAGGCAGGCGTTGGATATCGTTGGATCGTTGTGGGTTAGCTCGCTGGCACATGACATGGACAGGGCCCAGAAGCTGTGCCGAAGCCGAAGGCCCGTGGAAGCTAGTGCAATGCAGTGCATGGTGGTAGCCGCCTGGGCAGCCGCAGGAACCAGGTGCTGTCGCCGGTGATGCTGCGCAAGCATCGACGCCTGAACCACAGGCAAGATGCTTTGCATGTCTTCTGGGGTTATTGGGAGTTGTTGTATCATGTTGTATCTAAGTGTGGTGAGCAGGCGGCACCGGATGAGGTGATGAAGACTAGTCTTCCTCCAGTCACCTGGAGGGTAGTAGGTGCAGGAGCTGTGTCGCCAGAGCGACCTGCATATGGGCATGTCCTCAGCGAAGATCTTCGATTCATGGCGCATCAAGTACTGGGGTTGTGACTGCTCATTATAAGTCTCGGGAAGGTGCCACTCCCTCCTCCGATGCCGCAGGCCAGACGAAGTCTTTTGAAAAGACATCGTCTGCATGTCAACTGCCCTGACTGCAAGGATGGCTGATTCTGCTTGGCTGGCGGCTTCCGGCCTGGACGGGAAGGCCATTACCTATACTATTTTGCGGGTTCCTTATTAACACTCATGGTGTAAAAATGCACGAAAACCCTGTTCTAATTATTAAAGCCACCCATCGTTTCTGCTGGAGGTCCTTGGCATGCTCGAAGGAGGCTGTGCAAGGGCCAGGCGCATCGCCACAAGAGGCAGAAGCCATAATGTTGGGTTTTTAGTGGTGCCCACACGGTATTACCGCAGAGATTCTGCTCACTGTCATGTCATAGGCACCTGATGATTCACACCCTGGAGCAGTGGATGCAGTTGATATATACACACTTATTGCATATAGACATACACACACATACATAATTACATACACACATACATACATACATACATACATACATACATACATACATACATACATACATACACACATATACACACATATACACATACACACACACATATACATACACACACACATACATACATACATACATACATACATACATACATGCATACGTAGATAGATAGATAAATAGATAGATAGATAGATAAATAGATAAATAGATAGATAGATAGATAGACAGATAGACAGATAGACAGATAGACAGACAGATAGATAGATGTCTTTATCTATTCAGGTAGGTGTATGCGTGTGCGTGTGCGCGAGCACATGCACGTGCGCGTGCTTGTGCGGGTGCCGGTGCCGGCGCAGGCACGGGTGCGGGTGCGGGTGCAGGCATGCGTGCAAGCATGCGTGCATGCGTATGTGTGCGTATGTGTTTGTTCGTGTGTGTGCCATGGTGGTGTATAGCTGCACAGTGCCGGAGCACCCAGGTCTTCCTGCCTCGTTGGGGCTTGCATTGCGAATTAAGTGCTACACCGGACAAGGCGGTGCACAACTTATTGTACAGTAATCTCCCAGTGCAAGTGGCACCGCCTGACTCTCCCGCTGCAAGCAGCCACCGGCTGGATCGTTGCATCTTCAGGGTACGTACGGGTGTCGCTGTCGCCCTGTGCTCGTGGCTTCTTGGCCCAAGTACCAAGAGCAAGCATGGCGCTGCATCCCGGCATTGGCCCCATGGTGGCATCCGCACGGGCTCAGGTTTTCATGGGCCGCCGCCTGGCATTGCCTACGCTCATAACTTGCACCAGTAGCCATGGAGCTGCCGTGCCATCAATCCATCTTAGTAGCACTTCAGCTGGGTCAACACCAAGAACGCTCCGTATATGCAGCTTCGCGACAGGCATTGCGGCGTTGGTGTCGCTTCGGCTGCCACAGGGCACCCGTCGGTCAGCTAGTTCCACGACTGGCGCCAAAGTTGCTTTCCATCCGCGCCGGTGCAGAGCTGGCCCAGCCGACGGCTTGCTAGCGTTGGACGATGGCGCTGGCCAGGAGCCACTTCAAAATTGCAGCACCGGCAGGAACAGTGCTGACAGTACCTCTGCCAGCATAGCAATTGATGACAGGCAGCTTCAGCACTGGGAGCAGCAGATACATGCGCTCGTAGTGGTACTGGTATCTACAGAGCATGTCAGAACGAGCGAGTTGCAGGAAGAGGTCCTCGGACTGAACGACCAGGGTTTCGAGGATGGTGACTGGGGCTACTATGGAAAATGGGCTGCTGCCCTTGCAAAGCTCTTGCTGAAGCAGGGCATCATCGATTTGGACGAACTGGACGTGGCTTTGGGAGGGCGGAGTCCAAAGAAGGTTGGCGAAACCTTCAAGGTTGGGGCGGCGGTGAGGATAAAAGGCCCGACCCAGACAGGCCCTGCATCGCAGTGGCGGAGGCCATACTTGCCGGTTCCTGGCAGCGTGGCTGGGCTGCAGGGTGCCGTAGCAAAGAGACTGGGCCTCCGATCAGATGACAGTTTTTTTGCTTTGCAAAAGAGCCTTGGTTTGGACATGGACGCAACCTGCAAGCAATACATGTATGCGGTGAACATCGATCCGGAAGCACTGTCGACAGGTTCTGAAAGAATCGTCACCGTTGAAGTTTCCCAGTGCTGGCTTGAGGCACTGAAGCCTGAGGCAGAGGCAGATGCAAAACCGTCTGGGGCAGCGAAAGCCCCCAGAGCCCCCAAGAGGAGACACTTGCGTCAGAGCCTGAAGACCGTCGCTCAGAGCATGCACGACTTTGCATCGAAGCATGCTGAATTTCGCAAGCATGGTCTTGAAATTCACAGACATCAGGGCAGGCACGAGCGACACGAGCACCTTCCACGATCCATCGTGGAGGCGCAGGCAGTGGAGAAGGAAGGCAGAGAAGCGCCGGGACAGCGGGTCACTGAGGCACTCTTGCAGGTGTTGATTTCCAGGGGCATCCTGGCTATGTCAGCGGTTTCTAGGGCAATGGAGGTCATCGACTCCTTGGGAGTCCATCCCGTAGGTCCGTGGATTGTGGCGCGTGCCTGGTGCGACACTAGCTTCAAAAGCTTGCTTCTCGAAGATGCACATGCTGCCATTGAGTTGCTGGGTCACGAGGCGACTAGCTCTACATCCACAGTGAAGATCAAAGTGGTTGAATCGACACCCTGGGTGCATAATCTGGTTGTTTGCACTTTGTGCTCCTGCTACCCGGTCACTTTGTTGGGCTTGTCCCCAGCATGGTACAAATCTCGCGAATATCGCGAGCAAGCAGTGCAAAGACCGCGAGAGCTGTTGAGAGAGTCGTTCGGCCTGGAAATTCCACAAAACGTGGAACTTCGAGTGCACGATTCCAATTCTGAATTAAGATATATCGTGTTGCCTCAGCGCCCTGTGGGAACTGAGGGTTGGTCGGAAGAACGGCTTGCCTCCGTGGTGACACGCGATGCTATGATTGGCGTTGCGTTGCCGGACGTGGCAGAAGCGGGTGATTCTCAAAGCAAACAGGCTCTCTCTTTTGCGCATCATAATTGAGGTCTCGTTGATACACTGTGCTTTTGCAGGACTCCTTGTAGGCTTGGCAAGTTGACACGTCACGGTCCTGTCGGCCCTTCAACTTCCCCCAGACCATGAAAGTCATCTGGCATAGTCCCAGAGCAATCCCGAGGGTTTAAGCTTTAAAGCACCCGATCGCGGCTCAAGGGGATTTGTCGCGGTTTGGGAGTGCCCATCAAGAATGCGTTGAGAAACCGAATGTTCACAGGATCGACTTTAATCTTTACCCCACTCCCACGCAGTCATGGCTTTGTTCGTAGAAGATTCAAGTGGTGAGAGGCTTGCCCATAGTCAATTGTCAAGAGGATCGACGTGTTTGTTGATTTCCATGATACACAGGGCCCTAGCAGTTTAGCCTTCCCAGCTGCTTCAACTTGGCTGCTGGACCTGGCTGCTTGTACAGCAGCTTTTCAGCAAACACGTGTGAACGCCGAAGCTTGTTGCCAGCCGATTCCGGGACCAGTTTTGCGCACACCCTTGGTTTAACCTACAACGACCTGTGGCCATTCTACTTAGGAAGGACTGGAAGCCCCGTGAGTCACGGGTTTCTTGCCAACTTTCCTTCCAGACTGGTAGATAAGATGTTTTGATTCCTGGAAATCTACGAATAGCGGGAAAAGGATACATCATGATGTCCCTGCATGGTGCATGGCAATGTATGCGAATGCGCTGTTTGACTGTCTGTCTATGTGTTCTGAGCTCCTCCCGTCAAGACTTAAGGCAATTTTCACCCCTGGGCTGACCTCGTCGACATGCGAGGCTGCAGACGCAGCCCAGGCATGATCACAAATCTCTATGGTCGTTGCGAGAGATCGAAGTTACATGTCGAGGATGTGGCCAAGGCAGAGTCTCATTGAAACAAGAAGAGGAGACGTGGCGTGCTGCGGCACGCCAGTACGGAAAGAGCAACAAACGGTGCAGGAGCAACGCTGGAAGGAGGAGTGGATCTCCGTGGCGCAGGTCTCACCTTGACTTTCCTTGCTCCTGTGCAGCTTCAGCCGATGTCTCAGTATTGAACTCTATCAGGTGCGGCCCTGGAAACCTTCATGGGAGCCTCTTGCCTTCGGATTCGGGCAAGTAGGCACTAGGTAGTCTCAATCACGGCCTAGTGACAGACATTCAGTTTGTAGAACCTGCCCGATTTGCCAGGCGGGGGAAGTCTGAGAACCTGTCAGAGCGTGCGGGCGGGTGCACTGCCGTCAGTTGCGCCGAAATCGCCGCATGGCTGGACATCTGCAGACAATGATCCCACATCCCTTCTGCTGCTCGAGGAGTGTGTAGTCCTCCCAAGGCAGCATCGCAGCAGCCTTCGTTGCGGAGGTCTCTCGGCGTTTCATAAAGCCGGCGAAAACTGTTCTGCAAACTGGGGTTACCCGAGGAGCATGCCTCAGAGTCATAAGCCACGGCACGACCAGTTCCGCGCCGTCTCTGAGCTGCACCAAGTGCCGAAGCCCATCAGCGTGTAACTGTCGTTCACCCCGTTTCATTCTGGCGCCATGAATTCGTGCCCGAGGGCAGGCACAAGTCAAATACTCAGCCTCCCGGCCATTTTGGGTGCGGACTTGCCGTTTTCTGGGCAAGCACTCTGTTTGCTTCAGCTCTCATCCTGCTCTGGGTTGGCCGCTCCAGGCGAAGAATATGGAGACCAAAGTTTTCTCCGGAGCAGAGTCTAGCACTGACAGCTTCTTGCCTGTGCTGGGATATCGCATGATGGCTTCTGGTACCAGCCTGCCTTGGTCAAAAATGACTTCTCCTGCAACTGCTCAGGATGCCATCAAACCGCTGTCAGATGTGGATGCAGCATCTGAGACGAACACGGCGGCAACGACTTCCTTGCATACAGAGGCGCTGGAGCCACTAGCGCCACACCTGTAACTTCAATCGCTGTACAGCTCCGACCAACAGACAACGCCTAGCGGCCCAAGCTTCAGCGAATTCTTGATCGCTGTTTGTTGGCACCAGCAGTCAGAACATGAGCATACCAAGAACAAGTATAGCAAACTCGTTGCGGGGATCCGCATTCCGCACTGAGAGAACGTTCACCACTATCCAACACACCAATCATTCCCCAGGAGAGGACTGCCAGAATTCTGTCTGAGCGAAACAGGCACGTTGCAATCAAGAAGTGGTCCAGGGATGCTGTCCGAACCAACTCCTTGTGCTCTCGCCAGCCCGCTACTCGATACTCCGGAACGGAAGATGACTTGCTACCCACCACAGACTCAGGCTTTGTTCATGTTGTTTTATCGAGTCTGCCAACTAACGGTAGTGGAATTCATGCTTTAGTGGTGCAAGTGTGCGGACGAGTTGAGTAGAAAGACTGCTCCACACCCGGCATGCAACCTGCGGAAGGGAGTGTAGAAGGAACCCGAGCCTTGAGAGCTGAGAACTATGCGTTGTAGCCTTGCTAAGTTTGTGTTCGAAAGACGGTAACTGGCCTTCTGGCATGTACCTCTTCGACTCTTCGCTGCCAAGCATGCCGTAGGAGCTTGCCGGTGTTGTGCAGGCCATCTGCCACGAGGTGTTCAGCCAAGACGGCGATGTCCAAAGTGAGCAGTTGCTTGGCTTCGAAAGCGTTAAGAATTCCAACCGCCTACCACATGAGGCTTACATTGAAAATTGAGTCACCGAAGAACGAAGTCTGCTACAAAACACTGTTCGTGGGTCTGTCAGTATTCATGACTTCTGAGGTGTTGCTCAGAGACTCCAGATGGTGTCAGCGGTGCTAGAAGACCTTCGTCTGATGATTGCAGCTTGCCCAGATCCATGCCATGTCAATGTGGGGAATTCATCTGTGCGCTTTTGTGCCGAGGTGTTGGTCAGATATTGACGTTGTTGTGGCTTATCTGCAATCGGACGCACTTCCGCCGTGCAGTGCCGCAGCACTGGCAATGCTTCAGGCGGAATGAATCAGCGAAGTTGCTCCCTCTCAGGGAGGAGCTCTTCGGCACAGTCAGGCAGTCAGGGCTTTGCTGTGCTCCCCAAGAGATGCAGATATGTGCATTCGTCTGACATGCAGGGACGCAGCCGCAGATGCTTTGCCGAGCTTCGAGCGCATGGCACTGGTGGGCAGTGCCCGGAGCTCAGGGACTCAAGGATCTCCAAAACATTCCAAAACCCGGAAGTTCTGGTTCACGGGTGCTCAGATCCCAGCTGAGGTGGCCCTGACAATAGATGTACCCAGCTCTGCCCCTTGGAGAAGAGCTGGAATTGTCGAGATGTGTCGAGGCTGCTCTGAAAAACCCATATGCAAAGGATGTCGATGCCGTCGTCTTCACGAAAACTCCCGTCGATGCCATCCAAGCCCTCAACGACATGGCCGCCTTGCTAAGGCAGAAGGAGCTTTGCAGCAGTTAGACTTTGTCTTTGTCTTTTGCATGTCTGTTTTTTCTCTGAGGTTTGTTTGCTCTTACTTTATAGCTGCTTTAGCTTTGCTCGGTTGAATTCTTCAGATGCGGAGGAGCCCCAGCTTCGCGTGCAGGTCATCGACCGCGCTAGGGTGCCAATTATTATGGCCGCTCTCCTCGGCATGCTGTCTTGCCACTGCGTGACGGGGCCATGTGTAGGCAATTCGAAACATCCCTCAGACTTCGAGGTTTCGACCGGCGACAGGATGGCTTCTCTCGATTTATCTGTGAATCGGAAGCTGCCGGCAGCCTGGCACAACAGCAACAAACCGCTGAGGCGACCTAGACTACAGTGTTGCGCGGAGTTGCAGCCTCCTCATGGCCTAAATTCTATTAAAGGTTCTGGAGGCAATGATTCGAGGTGCGAGTTAGTGGGGATTGGGAAGCAACTATCCAAGGATGAGCACGTCTCCTGGTTTCGGAGCCTGCGCATCTTTCAGGAGGAGCAGGAATTGGTCGCTCGGCCCATGCGAAGTGTACTGTGCTTGTAGACAGCTTGCCCTTGATGCTTGAAAGCAGTCTTTGGGACAGGTTGTGGATTTTCTGAGATGTGTAAAATACTGGCACTCACAGCGCCAGATACCCGGCACGAAAGAGGGTGGCTATCCCATTCTGGCTTGGATACTTTTTGCAGTCCAAAGGCTGCAAGCCTTCCTCGCTGAAGAAACACTCAATGCAAGCCATTGTGGGCGTCTTCTAGCCGCACTGGACCACTTTTTTCAGTCCTTGGTCTGGCCAGCTGACACCCATGTCAGCATGTGTGGTTCTTCGGAAGAGTACATGGGCTCCCGGATTTGGCCGTTCCCGTGCATCTTGGACCCTGTGACCCCGGATGTTGGCAACTCAAACTTGATCCACGAGATCCCGATCGCAACGCAGATTCTGTATGCGGACGAGTTCCTCAGAGCAAGGGCCCTTGTGGCTGCAGCAATCTCTGGTGATGGCAACGCCTTCGCCCGGCTCTTTGAACGCGAGTCCTCGACATTGCTCCAAGCTTCTCCATTTCCAGGCGACAGCAAGGGAAATGAAGCTTACGGCTGCGCGGCCTTCGTATTGAAGAGACAGAAGATATGGCTAGTGGAGGTTCTGTCTATTTCCAAGATGCGAGAGAAGTGGACCGCTCCTTTTCTACATCGCTGCGATTCTCAGACGGAGCTTCAGGGATGTCTGCTTAGCGTTGACGGCGCCGGAGCAGTGCAGCGCTTCCCGGAACTGCGGCAAGGGCTCACTTTCACTCCGAGGGACTTTGTGGCCTGTGCAGAGCTTGACCACATATCTCAACAGACGCCATCTGTGCGCCTGACGAAAGGGGACTTGCGACGCTGGCAGGACCTGCAGAAGCTGCAGCTGTTGATCCAGTAAAGTTCTCATGATATCTCATGTAGTGTGCGACGCGCGACTCCGGGCACAGCACATGCGGGCTTAGCCCGCACTGCCGGGGCCGGATGTGGAAGGGCAAAAATGGCACCTGACACTGCGCATACTTGTAGCATCTTGTACCACACAAGCTGCTGTCGGTCATTGGCAATTGCAGGCTGTGCAGCGCTCGCAAGGTGTTGTAAGCAGTCTCTTCAAGACTTCTCTTGGCTGAAGCAACCGAAGCAAGTGATCGAGCACGCTGCACATCTTTGCACAGTCTGAAGTGGGATAAGCATTTTCTGCCGTATTTGTACAGGGTCAGCTTATTGCACTGCGCAGTGCTCCTGTTGAGCATCTTGCTGGGGGCAGCATCGCAGAGAGAAGGCAAGCAGGAACTCTTTGCTTGCGACAGTGCCCTGATGCATCCACGCGTGCAGTGTTGTGTGATCTGTGCTTCCTGCAATCAGCCGAGCTGGCCGAACTGCTTTTTACAGAGACTCGTTGTGGCATGTTCTTTTCGACAAGACGTTACGACGAATCAGCGTCACTAGCCAACATGTACATCTCTAGCAAAACTTCTTTTAAAATGTTAGAAGCCATGTTGCAACTGTGTCGACATTTTCAATGTGAACAGAGTAAACCTTCAACGATGTGGGCCCTGACCATGTCGTGTGAAGACCTAGTTAAATTACCGCACTATGGCTTCAACTTTTTCTGCGGAAGTTTGAGACTACAAGCGCACGCTATGAAAACATGATACCGCTGAGGGCATCCCGCAGGTGCGACAGTAGGTGCAGACATGCGTCTCTTGATGCTGCCATGTTTCGCCTGCGACGGAAGCGCAAGCCGCCCCACGAATACTGGTCGTTGAAGCGCCTCAAAAAGGGAGGCCTGCAGCTCACCTCTCGCAGTGCATTCGGACTTGGAGCAGCTTTGTTTGCGTGCAGGGACTATCGAGGGACAAGCTGCAAGCTGTGGCTATCTGCTTCTGAATGATGCCGCGGAGGATGACTACGAACAGCGGGTGAAGGACTACCCGGACGAGATCCTTCTGGCTCTGAAGTCCAACTTGGTGTCCGGCCGGCCTGTCTCTGAGGTTCGCGGCCCTGGCGCCCGTGGCGGCCGTCGCCCTGCTTCCAAGAAGCTACCCCCGGGCATCCGGTCACGCGGAGGCGGGTTCTATGTCGCCAGAGTCATGTTCAAGGACCTCCGCATTGTGACAGCGCGGGCGCCTATGCACCAAGCGCTGCGATGGCTAACTTCCCTGAGCTCCCTTCGATGCCGCTGGGCCGACCATGGAAGCTTCAGACCTTTTTTGTCCCGCCGCAGTCATTAGCTTAGGCACTGCATGCACCCGCGCTTCCGCAAGCGCCACAGAGCCCCTGACGATGCATGAGCTGACCAGTGATGCTCGGGCAGATTCAATACTTTCATATGCGCATGTTGCCATGTGACGCTTCTGCTTGTCTCAGCTCCCCACTGTACACTGTGAGGAATTGGAAGGCACTCCTTCGCTTAGCTGCGCATCGTTCGAGACAGTGCTAGCCAAAGGCAAACAGCGGTTTGGCGACTTGGCGGCAATTGGTTGCTGGAGACACCAGTTTTTTATGCAGACCACACGGGTCATTGTTTTCCGGCCGTCGGGAAAACACCACTTAATCCTGATGCGCTGACTCAAGACCCCTTGCTTGATGGCCGCCACCAGCTTGATCGAATTTATTAAATTAGTTACCTTCCACGAGCACCTCTTCCGACCATGGATTCGTCAGCTTGTTACAGCACCATGATGGCCGCCATAGTCATCCCTACCACATTCATTTTCACCGTCACTATTTCTGTGTCATCTTCGTCACCTGCGCTATCCTCCTCTTCCTTTGTAAACAATGCCCTCATGGATTTGGCATGGCACACGGCACAGGCACGCCTGCCACCGCCAACCTGACGCCCCTCGGACCGCAAGAACAGCGTCGCAGGGACTGCAAGTCTTTAGATTGCCCATTGCACAGAAGGCAGGGCGCGAGAGGACCTTGTAACCTCACTGCGTGGGTTGGCGAGCCATTCTCACGTACATTACGAAGACGGCCTTGGCGCCGGCATGACAATCAGAAGTATCACGAAGTGCAACAACCAAGGCTCGCCCTGCAGTTGCGCAGCGAGCTCCTCGCCAGAGTGGAAAACACCCCCAAGCGCAGCCTCGCAAAGGCATCGCACGGTTTTTAGAAAGTGCCCGATGGAAGCTGTCACTCATGAGTTCGTGCAAGGTGGTTTCCACATGGCAGACGGCTGCGAAAGCCAGGGTGCTGGCAGAGAGCCTCGCTTCGCTCAAAAGTGGTGCAAGGGCATATAAGGGGTGTCTGAAGTGTCAAAAGTGACCCAACATCGGACATCCCGGGGCAGCCCAGGAAAGAGTCGCAGCCAGTGAAGCAGCGGAAGCTTCTGGCTGCAGTAGCGGCAGAGCGCACTAGGCGCAAGTTTCAGGCGGGGACCCGAAGACAGAAATGCCTCTACTTCTTAAAGTGAAAGTGTACGCCTGTAGGTAGGGGAGCAGCTTCAGCAGATGCTCGGTTATCCTGGCAATGATCGACATGCCGCCGCGCAGCTCAGGGAGACTTGGCCAGATTTCTACTAGGATGTTGTTGGTTTCACGGGTACGAGTTACGGGTTCGATTCAGACCTTTGCAGGGGGCGAGTGCAACGGGCAAAGAGGGTTCAGACGAGTCTGCGAGAACCAGGGTTCAAAACCTCACTCACAGACACTCCCGGAAGACCTTCCCCGAACCTTCCTCGTCCTGGCTGCGCTTGTGGGCCGTTTGGGTACTTTTAAAGTGCTGATTCGTAGCCTTACTAACGTTACATTCGGAGGTCAGTAGGTCCCGTAGGTCGTGAGCAGGACACTACGCCTGGGATGTTCGTCAAGGTACGAGCGCTGTTGCGTCAGCTCGTGCGGCCGCGAACCATGCAGGCCGGTGTCGGCCGATACTTCGCCTTCGCACTGCAAGTTGTGCACAAGGGCAGTCCTTGTGTGAGGCGCGTCTCTTGCGGCGACCGCGTGGGATTTTGCCGGATGCGATTCGCCACGTGCGTCCTCTGCATTTTCTTTCCATCAAAGAAGCTCGGAGCCAAGTGAATCACAAAAGAGAGGCAGCTTGAAGCTCGATTGGCTGAGGTGCTGCACGTTAGCGCCATATCCATCGCCAGCTATGACGTCGCGATGGAGTCACTGAGGCCGACCATGAATGTTCAACATGGCTTGAACGACGTTCCATAGGCCTGACTTTTACCGCAGGCTGCGGCTGCGCAGCTTCGTTTACGAGCCGAGCTTTCTGGACGGCCCAAAGGAATCTCGGAGAGGACTGTGGCCGTCCATGAATGTCGTAGAAGGATGGGTTGGTTTCGTTGCTTTCAGTCTGTTAGTGATAGTAATGCAGGTGGCACTGCTCGCCTTCGTTGGCTTCTTAGTCAGCTTGGCTTCTAATCTTTGACTCGTTTCTTGGCCTACGAGCTTGCTGGACTTCCTGTACTGATGGACGAATCGAATGAATAGAGAACTGAATGTATGCATGCATGGATGCATTGACGGATGGATGGATTATAGAAGATAGCACTGGGGAGTCAAAGACTACGGACCGCGTCGAAAGAGAGTACCACCTAGCAGTACGTGGCTTAAACTGGCATCAGGAAGCACCAGAGAGTACTACATGCAAAGTAGGCAGTACTGCAAATCAGCACGTGGTGACGAACTAGAGATCCCGCAAAGCGGGAAAACGACAGACTAAGAAAGTCCCGAAGACATGCATTTGTGCCGGTTCCCCGCACAAAGATCCGGCCGACAACTGACTTCAGGACGCACGCTCACAATGCCGGCAGCGAAGCAGGCAACACTTGCTGAGTGACACCATGCAAAGACAGATGCAGTAGAGTAGTCGCAGGTGACCCTTTTGCTGGAAATGCTTCGTGCGCCGCACCTGTCTCGACTCTTCTTCGAGGTGGACCTGCGGAAGGCCCCCAAGGCACTTGAAATCAGCTCGGAGTGTGAGCGCTCTTCTATCGGGAAGGTCCCGTTTGACGTGGAGAGTATGGGAGAGCTGCCGGGAGTCCTGACTACGATGGGGTCCCTCTCGGTGTTGATGCTGCGGGCGCCATCCCAGGTGCCACAGCGATGCACAGCCTGCTGAAGTAAGGGTTTTGATCCTCGTTGTTGCGCCCGTTGGCAGGAATTTCTCTCCACTGCGGCAGTGCGCAGCATCTTCGACGCGATGCCTGTAGGTGCCTCCTTGGAGTTCCACAAGGATCAACGCGTGGTTTGGTTTGGAAGCAAGACATAGCGGCATGAAGTTCGGAGCCCTGCTCTACACTGGATCGGGCCTCGGCGACCTCAAGGTGCTTGAGCCTCGTCTTAAGGCCTTTCTTGCTCTTGACATGGTTTGGCATAGCCATTCTGGATAACTCTAGGAGTGGTGGCGCGCATATCTAACAAGCAACTTACGTATCAAGGCTCTCAAACCCCAGAAAGCAAAAAAATAGCAAACGTGGCAGCCATGAGCCCTTAGCCGTAGACCCAAAACACATCAAACGACTGAGAACTCTAAACTCGGATGTTTGCGGGTCGGGGGAGGAAGCCGTCCTAGGCTCCAGGTGAACAGGTGAGGTCTATAGTCAAGAGGGTGGCTGAGGGGCAGCAGGCTGTTTAGGATATAGCACTTCATCCGGACTTAAAGCATTCTCGATGGGACATGCTTGGAATCTGTTCGTGACACCGTTGGCAGCACAACTTGGGGAATGCCATGTTCTCCTAACTTCTCCTGTTCGTGATAGCCAGGTCACCATCAACCCCTTCATAAACGCTAGATACCGAACCCTACACCTGTTCCGATTCGGCAGAGGCTCTTGTCATCGGTGACAACCAGCCACACCTTTGCTAGCAGCTTCTGCTCGCTGGCCGATTTGTGGGGCTCCGGGGGTGCGCGACTTAAGCTTTCACGGAGATGCACTCCCGCACTACCCCGCGAATGCTTGGATGTATCTTCAAGCTTTTAAACCCTACACCCCAAGCCCCAGAATCCCTAACCCTAAACCCCTAAACCCCTAAACCATAAACCCTAAAACCCTAAACCCTAAGCCCAAACCCTAAACCCTAAAAGAAACCCTGAAAGACTCCGGGGTCCGATCGAGCTGCCCAGCCGGAGCCGAAACGGGCACCCGGAGCACCAGCCGCTTCGAACTGGGCCTCTGAGACGTCAGGGTGGCTCGGCGGAACCCTCACGGCCGCTTTCCTCTTGCATCATGCACCAGGCCAATCTCCCAGCCCGGACGCAAAAAAGAGCCTACGTGCAGTCAAATTCTATCACATTCTCTCTCTCTCTCTCTCTCTCTCTGTCTCCCTCTGTCCGTCCCTCCACGCGTGCGGAGACGTCTGCACGTTTTTCCACGCTTCCCAGGCTTGGAATCGCAGGAAGTCAAAGGGCCCCCACAAAACTGAGGCCCCTGAACCCAAAAGGCACAGCGCAGGATGCCCCCGTTGAATTTGTCGCCACTGTGGCACCCTGGTCTAGCCTCGCAGGTCGGTGTAAATGCACCGAGCAGCTGAACAGCAAGCTTGTTGGAACTGTTGCAGTTTTGGCCCAAGGTAGATACCGAAAAGTTGTAGCTCATGGTCAGCCCACGTTCTTCTACTTCATCGGCTGGTGCATAATGTGGCGGCTTGCGAGGGCCTTCTTAAGCATTGCGGCTGGCAGTCTGGTTCTCGCTGCAGAGCGCGAGAGGCATGAACGTCCTCACATCTTGTTCCTTATGGTAGATGAGATGGATGGTCGACTCCTCGACGATGAAACACCTCAGTTCAAGCCGCCTTTGCCGAATTTACGAGCCCTTATGAATAGGGGTGCTTATTTTCCAAATACGTATAGCAATTCTCCGTTGTGTGTTCCTGCGAGAACATCGATGGTGACTGGACGGTACAACTCTGATATTAAGATTTGGGACAACTTCGTGGGCATCGCGAATGTCAATGGGGACGACACCCAGATTGATCAAAGATGTCTTGCTGCGTACTCCCGCCGGGAATGTCTTGAGTTCGCAGCTGTGCAAAGAATCAACGGCACGTTCTTCGATGTTCTTGCTGACCAGGGTTACAACCTGACCCTTTGGGGTAAAGTCCATGCGGGCGGAGGTGTCGAACGCTTTAGCCGACACATTTTTAATGACCCGTTCACCGGAACAGGACTGGTCCGTGAGTCTGCTAAGGCCTGGACACGTTCCACAGGCGTGTCCTCCAAGTTGCAGGACCCGACAGATTGGCTCCAAAGACCGATTGATGTTCCGAAGCCGGCTGAGAACTTCTTCGATTACCCAACCGCAGAGGAGTGTACACGCTTGTTGGAGCAAGGGCTCTTCAAGTCATCTACGCCGCAGTTTCTATACTGTTCATTCGCAGTGCCGCATCCGCCGTATCAGACCAACAGTACATACTGGAATGCAGTTGGACCACTTGGAAAGCATGCCATACCCCCATTGGTGCCACGGAATAAGTTGCATCCCGCGGATGAGTATGCTGTCAAATCTAAGCAGTTCTGGAATTTGGACAATTGCTCGTCGGAGCACATCGAGCATTTCCGGCGTGTCTACTTCGCGATGTGTGTGGAAGCAGACCACCTCGTGGGAAGGATCTTGAGGGCTTTCTGGGCGAATGTGAACCCCGACGATGCTTACGTTATCTTCGTCTCTTGGCTGCAGACCCCTAGACGCCCTCCTCTGCTCCGACCTATGAAACACACGAAACGGAGTATCAGACGTGAGACACGCGGCCCGAAGCCGAAGCACAGACTGAAAAAGGGATCGATCCCCCGTGTCGGTGAGCAAGGGGGTTGCTAGGGGCTGAAGAGCTTCAGGGTGTGACGCAGTTGGGGGCATTTGTCCGTGGTTTAGGTCTCTGACCATGGCGAGCTGAACCTCGAGCATCGTCAGTGGCAGAAGAGCTCCATGAAGGAGGCCTCAGCGCGCATCCCCCTCATCGTTTCCGGGCCTGGCATGCCGAAAGGACGGAGAGTTCAGTCTCTTGCCTCCTTGAACGACATATACCCAACACTCATCGACATGGCCGGTGCACGCTCGCGTGTCCCAGTAGACAAACTTGCCGGAGAGTCTGTGCTGCCAATTGCCCATTGGGACCAGCGCAAGAGGGGTTATGTGGTTTCTGAATACTATGACACATTTTCGAGGACCGGGACTTTCATGGTAAGACACGGCCAGAAGAAGCTCATAGTGCACGCTCCCTTGGAAAGTGGGCTTCGCTGGCCTTCGCAGCTCTTTAACATTGCCGAGGATCCATGGGAGCTTACAGATCTAGCTAACCAGTTTCCATCGGAGGTGACCCGCTTGGAAGCGCTGCTACACAAGGAGTTCGATGTTGAAGCAGTGGACAAGCAGAAAAAAGAATATGATCATCTGATGTTCGTGAATTATGTCTACCGCAGATATTCCGGGCCGGCTGGGTGTCAGAAGGCGATGAATGTTGCATTTCCGGGTTTCGATGATGAAGATGCTAAGCTTGTTGAGGCATGGCTTGGGAAGCCTTGCTGCAAAGTGCAGGCAGGTCGAGTTCAGCGCAAGGCCAAGTACCACAAGTTGGCTTGCCCGTCAAAGATGGGCGACAAATTCCCATAGGGAATTCTGCCCAGGCTGTGTTTTCTGCTTGAGCCGAAGCGTTTTGATTGTAAAATAAGCTACTGGCGGCTGCATGCATCATTGAATCACGTGTGGAGATGTCGCTGTATGCTTGCTGCGATGGCTTGTGAATTGGGCCTTCACCTTCAGCTGCTCTGTTCACCAGCCTGCCCAAGAGTTTTAGACAGCTTTGCAGCCGCATCGTACTGTAACGCTGGTGCAGTAAGATTGGCAAGCGGCCCGGCCGAACACTCATCAGAGAGTTTCGTCCCCCAGTTCAGGTAATAACGGCAGTAGTTTCGGTGTGGCATGACTTGAGCCGTTGCCATGCTGTAGCTGCAATGGCTTGGCTCGACTTGACATAGCCTACAGTTGGATGCTTTGCCCGAGAGGTCACGCCACCACTTCCGAAGGAAGGAAGCTAGGCCTCTTCTCCAGGCGTTACTGCGATGTTTGTGGAGAGAAGGTGTCTCGCCGAGGCGGAGTTTACCATGAATGCGCTGCTGGCTGCGACTTCCGAGTTTGCAGCATATGCAAGAAGGAGGCCGAGAAGAGTAATTACTTCGTGGAGCCATGCACCTTCACCTTTCCTGGTGGGCTCGGTCCTTTCAGTATTCAACGAACAAGCCTCGAAGGCTCGGATCTCTTCCGCAGCGATCCGCGGTCACGCGGCGGCTCTTGGATCTTGCGCGACAACTTCTTCCAACGCGGTGGAAGGAGTCTTCGAAGGTGCTGGCAAGCCTTGCAAGAGAATGGGGTTGCACTCGAACTGCCACAAAAAGGCACGGGCATTGCAGTGGATCTTTCGCCCATAGCTCCGACCAAGCTGTGTTCAGAAGTGCGCAGGGCTAGCCGTATTCCTGATGTACCCGGGGTCCTGGTGGCATGGATGTATGCTCTACAGATCGAGTGGCACATCATTTTAGGGGACTCAGAAAGAGAAGAAGACGGCACAGCAGCGGACTGGTCGTTTCTGACGGTTGGCGGATTTGTTCTCCTGCAGGAGGATGAGAATTCACAGCTGAAGGTGTTGTGTGCAAACTCCGTATCTTTTCACCCAAGTGGTCCTATGCAGTTCTCGGCTCCGCAGCCGTGGTGTTCTGAGTGGACTCGCAAGCTTGCCGAAGCCGGGCGCTTCCGAAAGGTCACCGTCCAAAAGTGGGCCAGTGCTGGAGCTCGATACCTCTGCTGGATTTGCCCCGAGGAAAAGCTACTGAGACCCGGGGCTCGGCATGGGGGTTTCGTCTTCCTTTTCCACGAGCTCGATGAGGAGGACACGAGCGGCAGGGATCGCTTTTTCGAAGTCGTTGGGGCGCCTGTGACCAGCGAAGCCCGCACCCTCGAGCTCCTTTCTCAAATTCCAAAGAGGTCTTCGCAGCCCGAGGCCCCGCGGCCAAGGGGCTTGAACCTGGGGTCGCCACACTTTCCCAAAGCGAACTTGTTCACTTTGTCAGAAGTCCCAAGACCATATAGGGCTGATGGTTCGAACTGGAACCCTGCGCTCAGCAAATGCAGGAGGCAACAAACTGTACAGGGTTTAAATGTCCATCCCAGACAAACTTTCAACTCCACTGCGCTCGTGGGAGGTTCTGCAGTCATCGGCCCTTCCTTTTCGAGTCGTCGGTGAAGTGCTTCCTGCATCATCCTCGAAGCACATGGAGGACCTTCGCCAGCGCTGCTTCAAGGCTGCCTCCGACGGACGCTGGTCCCTGCTGGCGCACATTCTGACGGAATTCCCGGCAGTAGCACAAGCGCAAAACGAAGAAGGCGCCTCGGCTGGCTCAGAGGTCGCAGCTTGAGGCCGCTTGTACTGGGTTTTGCCTTCTCTTCTGAGGTCAGACAGTGCTGCACAAAATAGCGGCTGGACGCCCAAAGACACGGCGTGCTACAGAACTCCTTCGCTTGATCCATTCGCAGGGTGGGAACCTTGAGGCGCAGGACACGTCTGGACAGCACCTTGGGTGAAGCATGTCCGCGGCACCATATCGATCCCACGCATGCATTCAGGCATCATGTGCGATGTCCAAGGAAGGCATACAACCTGGGCGATCAGATCTTCCGCGCCCAAGCATGTGAGATTTGGGGTCTCGTCCCTGACCTTTTTGCTGACCCAGAGGCGGCACCCCTTCACGATTCACTTGTGCAAGACTTGTCCTTGAGCGACTCATGTGACTGGCCCTGAAGGTTTGGTTCGATTATTGGGATGCGAACAAAGATGGACATCTGTCTCCAGAGGAGTTAGTGCCTGCCTTGGCAGCTGCCTACCAAGTAGGTGAGCTTGGCAGACAGTGGATTGAAAGCTATGTGAACACTCACTACCGTGAGATGGCTGCGCTCGACCCGAATGCTCTCCTGACTAAGTCTGCTTTTTTGGGCAACGAAGGTCTGCTACACAAGCTGCAGTCCAGTGAGGAGTTCATTAGTTTGCGTGGGCAAGAAGACAGTCCTGGTAAGAAGATGCCAGCATTGTTTAAGACGGAAGGTCGTAAGAAGCCTACTGAAGCCGACAAGGAGGCAGTAAAGAAGTTCTCCAAAGCTTTGGAAGATCTGCGGGCAAAGCATGGGTGGAACAGAGCTGGGAATGCAGCACCCTCCCATGCAAGACTTTTGGAAGTGTCTGGTCCTTTCCCTGGTGGAGACTCGGATCCAGAGCATCGCATGAAGGCAGCCAGGCAGATGTTGGCTTGGTCTTTTGCGAAAACAACGGCCAGAAGCGGCAAGGAATGGATGCACGGCTTTAAGATACAGTTCACTGGGGACGATGCTGGCATTGACCATGGTGGACTGACAAAACGTTGGGTGCAGGAAGTGGGTCATGCCTTGTGGGGAAGTGAGGACTTCTTTGATACGAAAGCTTCAGGCAGCTTCTTCAAGCCTGACAGCACTACCGACATGCGCATCCATGCTTTCCATGTCAAGGCCGAGTCATTGTACAGATGGGTGGGCCGCTTTCTCGCCTACTCTTTGTATCAAGGCTGCGTCTTGGACTGTGCTCTGAGTCCCTGGGCCTTGCGCTGGCTCATGCGGGTGAGTGAGACGCAAGCAGCGCTGCCCCCGATTCTGGCGGCTGTGGCAGGGGACTGGCAACGGGAGGGTGAGGACAGCCGCATCGCTACCATCTCTGGAAGGGTCCTTCTGAGCCATGCAGACGCTTGAACTTGGATGATTTCATCTGCCCTGCTGTTGCTCTGGATTCCATTGCATGTGCAGGTTTCGCGACCATTTGCCACGTTTTGTTGCCGAGGATGAGAACGGCTTGCCCCCGCAGATCGCTCTGCAAGTCTCAGAATCAGGCCAGCTTATGCCAGCGAATATGTCACGTGAACATCGCTGTCCATCTTCAGAAGGGAATGCTGTTGTGCTGCATGCTGTCGTGACCCGTGACAGGTGATGCTCTGCAAGCAGATTTCGACGGAGAGTCCCTGACAGCCAGCCTCGCAGGACTCAAAGACTTGTTGGTCTTTGTTCATCTTTGCTCAATGGTCCTCACCCTCAGAAGAGAGTCTTCACTTGAGAAGGCGGTCGACTTCGCTGGAGTGATGGCGATGTGTGGGTTCGATGCATCGACTGCCCAATACCTCGCCATGCTGCCCTGCCGGTGTGGGATGACAGTTCCCAAGGCAGCGCCGAGTGTGATGCTCGCAGCAGTCCATGCCAGCCAGCCTGCAGTTCCTTTTCGCAGCATTTTGCCTTTGTTTCTCGAGAGAGGGGTCTCTTCGTGCGTCGGCCAGAATCGGACATGGCGAGCTCGAACGTAGTCTCACTGGCTCACACCCCCGAGTCCACCAAGGCTTGAGCCTACGCAAGGGGATAAGACTCCTTGGAGGTCCTGCAGGGCAATCCGGCAGCCACTCAGCTAGATCCGGTCTCCCCAGAGTCAGCCATGCCGCAGTCTCCTCCACCACGGCAGTGGGAGGAAGACGAGCTCATGAACATTACACTCAAGACACCGCAACGACAGAGATCGCTGGGGCATGCTGGGGCTAATCTCGCAGCGCGCGGCATCTCCTGCATCCTTGCCAGGAGAACTGCCAGCAGACTGTGTGCAGACGCCTCCCAAGAAGAGACCACGTTCAGCCGGAGCTTCTGAGTTCCGGTGTCACAGGACAGCAATGCTCAGTTCACGGAAGGATGCATCGCCAGCCTCGACTGCAGCAGCATCCTGGGATCCATACCAGCTAGAGAGCCCGGTGCCTGCTAGGAAGGAGAAGATTCCGTTGAGCGAAAAGCTGAACAGAGTCTTCATTCCTGCTGCCATAGTAGGGCAGCAACTCAACACCTTTGAGGACTCCATCCAGCATGCAATCTTGATGGAGTACTTCACGAAGCTGATGCTGCAGAAAAGTTTGTAGCAAGCGAGCCTGCTGCGAAGTGCGCGTCAGGATTGCACACAACGTGTGTGTAGGCCCTGAAGAGCGAAGTCCGATATTTCAAGAGCCGTTGTGGAAGTGCTTGGCCGTTGGCAGCTTCTCGGTTGGATAATGAACTGCTGCCGAGTTTGGTCTTTTCATTAGAACACAGCAAATGCAAAGCTCGCGCACACGCCGTGTGTAATCCTGATGCGCGCTCCGCAGCAGGCTCGCTTGCTAGAATCTTTTCTGCACGGATGGATGCGGCATTGCAAGCCACAGTTTTGTCTGCAGAAATGCGACTCCGAGGAGTTGTGCAACTTGCAGGCAGGCCCTATACTGATGCAGCAGATGCTTCTGCATTGCCATATCACTGGACGACAGCTGGACCAAAGGCTCCGGCAGGTTCAGCCGATCACCAAGAGCCCCAACAAGGATGTGGGTGCGCCAGCGCGGCTAAGTGATAGCATGTGTCAGCAGCACAGCAGCCTGGATCTCTGAGAAGCTGCTGCATGAATCGTGACGAACGTCACTTGCAGGATGTAATCGGCCTCTTGAAAGGCCCACCCCTCTGCGGCTGCAGCATGCCTGCGGCCTTGACCTCGCCTTGAGACGACTGCGGCCTCTGGAAGCCCTCGTTTTTCTGCTCTGCCCCAAGACCAAATGACGACAGGGTTGCCAGCCTCAACCTCAGTGTTATCTCTAATGTAATGTCGTATTGTTCTGCCGTCTCATGTGGTACCCGCGTCAGATAGTCGAATTTGTCTTTCAGCTGGAGCGTGAGTCTTCTGCTGTGCCGTGATCCACCTGTACAGTCTTCCACGGAATGTCGGCCTGCCTGGAGTATCTCCAATCCTTAAACTCAGTCCGAGCCTGCGTGTTTTCAAAAATACATGCTGGCCTTTGGTGTTGAGCTTCAAATCGTCGCATGAGTATCTTGAACTTCAGCGCCGGTCTTTGTTCACGCCGGCAGGTGACGACCAACTTTTGGAGGATCTCGCAACAATGGATCCTGCCTTTGCCAACAGTTTGTGGAGAGTCCGGTATGAGATGCCCGACGAAGACCTGCAGTGGCTCACCTTCTCCTACGCCGGCCGAGAGCTCGTTCCAGGAGGCGATGACATCGAAGTCTCTCCGGAGAATAAAGCCGAGTATGTCCGGCTTTGCTGCAAGGCAGCCTTGCTGTACTCCTCTCAGAAAGCACTGCAAGCATTCAGCGATGGATTCTTCGATGTCCTTCCTCCAAGCCTTTTCTATGGTGCGCCGGCTGACGTTTTCCAGTGGCTCCTGCTGGGCGATGCCCAGATTTCGGATGTGCAGATCGAGAAGCTCGAGCAGGTTCTGGTGCCAGATGGCCTGGTCCCCAAGCACCTCAAAGACACCAAGGAACTCCAGACATCGCTGGCCTGGCTGTTCAAGATCATCCGGCGAGGGGACTCCAAGTTCAGGCCGCAACTATCACGAATCACAAAATTTCTTTGCTCTGCTGTTAGTTATGAACTAGACTGTCGGAACCGCACTGAACCATTCGGTCGCGAAAGCATGTAGCTAATGCTGCTCCAAAATGATTGTGGTGTTCGAAGGCCCATGTGCCAGTATAGGCGGTATAGGTATGGGAGATTCCCGATGGTTTCGGACACCTGCATGACACGTGCTGAATGGCGCACCCTGAACCCAAAATTCTGTCGTGAAGGCGCGCACACACAAAACTCGATTCAGTGAGTGACTTCGTCTTGTGCTGCCAGCGCAGACTCCAATAGGTACAACGAGAAGCGATTGCAAGGCTAGTCTTGCTTGCGAAGTGCCATTCATGCCCAAACCGGCCATACTGATCACCACACAAAACTGATCCGTGGCCATAACCTGGCACGTCGACAAGAAGTCCTTGGCAGATCCGCAAAGGGGTTGCTTATTTGGTTTTCGTTGATGTACACGACAGTTTGAGGAGGGACATGTCTACAGTAAGTTTTTCATGGACCCAGAAAGAAGCTTCGTGCCGCTACGCTTCTGTTGTTGCTTTTTGTCTTGCCGATTGCATGCTCAACACACCCCCTTAAGTCATGCATCTTTGCCAAGGTCGAAGGTGGTGAGTATGTGCATGTAAATTGTTGTAGTGACATAGTGTCGACGTTCAGCTTTCAACGTGCATTCTGCTCTGTATACGCACATGTAATACACAGATTTACATGTGAGACATGCGCGTAACGGTCGAGTATGCTTCTTGATCTTGGCAGGTCGAGGCTTTTGGAATTCTGGACCGGGAGCGAGCGCTTGCCCCTTGGTGGCGTGGAAGCCATCGAGCCGAAACCCAGGCTGCAGGTGATGATCTCGCAGGAGAAGCCCCTTTTCAGTGCAGCTTGAATTCTTGGATAGCGAGAGAAAGAAGCAGAACGATAGAGAACTGCCTCTGCAAAACAGAATTCACAGTAGGGAGGGTTTGTAGCCGTATTTCTTCGCTTGTCCAGTGCTGTTCTAACGAGAACGAACCAGCATCCCCGTCCGGAACCATTTCAAAAAGCTTCCCGAACATGAGCAACACGCCAGTCTTACATAGGCCCGAGACAAAGGGAACATCAACCCACAATCAACCGTCCTCACAAAAAAGCGGCCGCTTCCAGCAAAGGCCTTTTGGGTACTGTTGCGAAGGTCTGTCTGGATTGATGCCAGTATGAAGTTGGGGTCGAGCTTGAGACTTAAAGTTGAAACAGTTGGTAGGACATCTTCTGGAACTCGTGATGATAAACGCCCAGCGACCACAGCCACTTAGACCGCGGCACATCAGAACTGTGGCTTTCAAGAAGCTCCCGATGCCTCAGCCGATCATTGCAAGGCGAAATAGTGCACGCGAGCGGTTTTTGAACGGGCACGGTGAACAGGTGAAGGACGCCAGTGGAGTGTTTCACATGCCAGCGTCATCGAGTCACTGGCAGGGTGGGTGGGTGGGTGGGTGGGTGAACAAGGGAGCGAGCAAGCGAGCAAGAGGTCGTCTGTGGCGCCCTGCAATCAAGATTTGGCGACAAGGGAGTGCCTGGAACGAAGTTCCGCTCCGCTTCGATGCACGCGATAGCACAATGAAGCAGCATGAAGCAGCCCAGCCCAGCAAAGGCAGAGGGCCCACTAGACTTTGTGAGAGAGCATGTAGCAGAAATTGCAAAGTCGATCAACACCGGGTCTCGCCACGGATGCCATCCCTCCCAGGCAAATTTCATGTGGGAAGTGCAGCTGCCCAACAATTCGTGGTCTGCCTACAGCCCTGAAATCAGCGGAAGCTTGAACAACACGCTCGAGGCCGGTTTGAGGCCGGGCTCTGCGCATAGCTGCGGGCGTAGGCGAGTGCACGAACTCTTGGCTCATGTCTGAACGCAGGATGTTGGAACTCCAAGTGGGCCGAAACATGTATGTCATAGACATACGCCTGCGGCTCAATCCGGCGTCGCATGAAACTTTTTCTTCGCGAGCGTTTCACACCTCAACTGTCTCAGGTGCCAAGGTTCAGGTCAACCGCCGGACCGGCGACCGACGGAAAGTTCGACGCAGAAAGATCGAGCTACTTTCCAAACATATCCTTGCATGTAGACTTGAGGAAGTCTTGAGCACCTTTTGTCAAATGTCTGATGCAGAAGGACTGCACATGCCTGCGCAACTAAGCATGGCAGCTGATGACCGCACTGAAATGGCCGTCGTGAAGAGGACGAAAGATGCCGAGACGGGGGTCGTTTTCTTGTCTTGGCTGTTGCAGGATCGAATCGTGGCCGGCAACACGCCTACCGGAAGGGTGCCGTGGCAACAGTGTCGACAGCGTCTTTTTGCCAGTCGGCGTCTCTCTCCACTAGGTCCAGAGACGGTCCGGTCGGTACTGGGATCCAGGGAGAGCTAGCTTCGCTGTTTCTTTCTCGTGGATACCACACAGGGCCACCGTCTGTTTTTGGGAATAAGATCCCAATGGTGTTCAAGGCATACTTGCGGAAACGAGCTGTGGATCCCACTCTGCGACTCCGAGGAAGACCTGGTCAAAGTCTCAGAAATCTATGCACAGAAGTAGTCACAGACCTCATTTCGCATGTGATCATGAGCAGAGTTGAACGCATGTGTGTTTGCATTCAGCCCTTCGGTTCGGAGCAAAAACGGGCCGATAGTTGTTTGATGCAGCTGTCTCCATATCTCAGCCCCTTGGTCGCTATCAGAAAGGCTCTCTGGCAAAGCTTCATAAACTTTCAGCCCGGGCCATCGGAAGCTGAGGCCATGACGGCTGGATTGCATGGCCTTCGCCACTGGCTACTTCTCAGCCGAGCCCCAAGCATATGTCAAGTACTGCCAACCCATGCAAGCCTCATAAACAATGTCAGGTTCCGTCTTCGAGCAGCTGTCGGCAAGCAGCATCTCAGCGCATGATTCACAGAGGCCAAAGCAAGAGCCCCGGGAACACAGCAGGTTGCTCTTCGATTGTTCGGAAGTGCACTGCTGCAAAGGCGAGCCGCTGTGGTGGATGCCCAAGGGTCGGCCACAATGCCGGCCTTGATGCGTCAGGAGGTGCCGAAGTTTGCGGCCTGCCCGGCCGCGTGGGGTTCAGGCTGAATTTGAACGCCAGGACCAAGAACTCGCGGAGACCCATGAACACCGGCCAGTCGGTGTGGATGGACTCTGGGCGAGGTGCAGACTCTTCAAGAGTTCTGGTCTTGCCTCTAGACTCTAGAAGTGGTCTCACATTGCCGAGGTTTTTTGGTACCAGCGGCCCCTCAGCTTAGCAGGTACTGACGCAGGGTTGACCTCATGCTTTGCAGGTCGCAGCTCTGCGCAGATGTGGACTAACAACCTGGCTAAGGTTCCTCGATTGCGGATGTGGTGAGATCATCTGCAGATTCCGAAGAGAATGCCACGCACTCCGTCGAGAGCAGTTCTGGAAAGTCTTCTCAGTACAATGCCAGCAAGCTCGGCAATGCTACGCGGGACGCCCTTGCCAAGCTTAAGAATTCCAACGTCTCGAAGCTGACTTTCTCTGAGGAGGCAAGGCTCAGAGCAGCCGATGCTCTTGGCACAGAAGGGGTTGCAGGGGGTTGGTCGTCCAGGACTGTGAGGACACCTGGCAGCCAGAGTGGAGCTCGAAAAGTCCAGCAGAAAACTGTGAAGAGTGGGCCTCTTGACTGAAGGGACACGGAAGACCCCCAAGATCCCCCAAGCCTGAAGTCGAGCTCTTTCTGTCCCGAGGCGCGAGATGGTGAATGGGGAGCTCTCTCGAGCGCAGCCTCCATGAAAGTAGCTTGCAAAAGCGCGTGCCAGTGCTGGGGCCGGGGCTCAGAGCAATCATCACCTTGGACAGGCGACTGGGCCCAGGAGAACTGCATAGCCACTTGTGGATGCAAGGCCGGGGAAGCGATGGGAGCTTCTGAGGGTCAAAAAGCCGCACATACAGGTGTAAGGGAGGGGGAACATGCGCATCTTGAAGTCAGCGCAGGCGGTGCTGAGCATGCAGCTCGACAAGGCGATCCACGAGGCGGTGCGAAATCTCGGCTACAGCTCTGCGCCACTTGGTTGGTCTCGGTATGTCTCGGTCCTTGGATGGCTACGAAACTCGTGCAAGTCTGCGCAATTTGAGGAAGGACGCGGAGCTGCAAAACCTTTTGGATGACATGGAACCTGCTGCCAAGAGATCCCTGATGCATGTGCTGCGCTCCGGCTGCAATGGCTGAAGGGCGAATCGAGATCCCAGTGAGCATGAACGCTATCCTGTCACTGCCTGGCCTTGCCATCCGAGGGCGAGCTCGGTAGCATCCCAGAATACAACCGTTCCGCGACTTGTGTTCTGCAGCCTTTGTCCGGTGACATCTAGCAAACAAAACCGCACCTGTAAGGCTAGTCCGCGCACCAACACGTCCACCACGTCAACTACAACCAGTCCACCGGTCCATGCACATGCGATTCTGGACGTGGTGTCGCAGATGGGATTCGATTCCAAGCAGCTCAACAGAAAGAGACGCGTGTTGGTAACCTATCGCTATCGCTCTAGATTTAACAGCACATCTCACCCCTCCTGCCGAGGCAGTCTGCTCAGCTTAATGAAACACTGCAGCTCATCGATCCGGACCACTACGATGACATTATCGAAGTGCTGAGTTTTGTCGGCATGGATTTGCACACAAAGCTGGACTTGTCACAGTTTCTGAGCTTTAATTCGGTCAAGATCCGCAAGCAAGGAAGCTTATCTGGAAATTGCACATCGGAACCTCGACTACGGGGCCGGTATCAGAAGAGGATGTTCTCGAAGCAGCTGCAGATGTGGGTTTGAAGAAAGAGCAACTCGGAAACTGTCTATATGTTGGAAGGTTGCGGTGCACTTGCGCTTGCTGCAGTTTGCCAGATCTGCTGCATGCAATGCTTCGAGGGACATCCTGTCTATCAATGCTACCCTTGATGGCATCAAGCCGGGGCTTCATGACGAGATTCTCAATGCGGTCAATGCTGCTCGTCGCTGACACGCTCAAGGGGATCGTAGGCCTTCACGCATACTGCAATGCCTAAGGAAACGGCTGGCCTCGCAAAGAGTATCGGGGCAACTTGCTGGCAATGACAAGTCTCTGTATGCAGGAGCAGCCCAAGGGTCCGGCTCGCAGTAGCGAGCCCCTTCTGCTTCTTTGCAGAAGAGCAGTGTCTGTTGTACGTCTGGCACTTCAGGTTGAGAGGTTGATGCCTCAGTTTTCTGCCTTGGGGGTTGTGTGGCAGAAACCTTTTGCAGCTTGAAGAAAATGGCATTCCACGCTGCCGCCACATTAAGGACCGGGAAAGCCATTGTGCGGCATCTCCGAAATCTAAGCAGGCCCAGCCGGCAGAACCTGCCGACAAAAGATGAGCCGAACGAGTTCGTGATCCAAGCAGCTTCCCGACCCAATCTAGCTCGCTGCTTTCCAAACTGCCCCATTCGACCATGTTACGGTCCGGCTTCTCTTTCCCAGATTAGCTTTGCCGTCGTGTGCAGCCGAGGCCAGTCCAGAGTCACGCGAAGCGTATCGTGAGAGGCGCCTTGCAGCGGAAACAGTGGAGGTTAGTCCAGCACCTGACTTGGCATACTTGGCTACCGAGGCAAGGAGAAGATGCCCGCGGATTTCATTTCAAGGTGCCTAGGCAGTTTTCGGTGGAGGTTGATGCCGCCCTCCATTGATAGGGCAGTGCCGCCATGCTCAGGTAAGCCTTCCCGTGGAAAGAGTGGTGTCCTTCATTCAATCTAGGGCACAAGTTGAGATCGAGGATCCAAGGAGCCAGCTGGATTGAACGTCAATGTGACCCACTGCCTAGACTCCCGTAGCCCGCGTAAAACCTTCGAACAGACATGTGCAGGACCTTGAGTTTGGTCATCGCTCGCCTGGCATTCAGCTGGTGTCCTGGACGCAATTCGATGACGAAGCAGTTTAGTTGGGATGATCATGGGAGATCCGCCGCAAGCGAGCACATAAAGCACATGTACAGGCCGAGACCCAGCTGCTCCAATGAAGAAAGTGGCTTCACGGACCACGGGATCACGGGAGTGTAAGGGAAGCAAGGTTGGCTTGAAGCGTAATATGGCGTAATCCTAGGCCTGGAGCATGAAGTGATGCTTTTGCTGCTTTTCTCCCGCATCAGGACTATCGTCTCTTGGACTTCCATGCCGGAGAGGTCACGAACGAAGGATCTGACTGTGTCCTGGCTGATGTCCATCGCATAAACCCATCCATGAAAGTGCAGGAAGACTTTACCTCACCTAGATCACCTAAACTTACCACCTTTAGCCGCCCGCTTACCAGAAGCTCGCCCTAGTCTCAGAACATTTTGAGGAGCCGACGTACATTCGCCGCATTGCCGAGCTTCTTGCATGCCCCATTGCGCATACAAGGTGGAGCACTTGTCGCTGCAAGCGTGGACAGAGACGGCAAGACTCGCCTACCGAAGACGGGATATCAGGCAAGGAACTTCATGTGAGAGCAGTGCCGGCACAACAGCCAAGCTCTTCTTGAAGGACTTATTTTGGTTGGCGGGAATGCTCCGACCCTATGCTTCGGTAATGTCTGAGACATTGCTTGCAGATTGCAGCTGCGACTCTGTGCAGTGTGCTGATGTGCTCACCGTGACGATACGTGATTGTTTCGCATGTCGAAGTCATTATTGGCCTCATTGTCTTGTGCACCACTGCAACGCACAGGTTCGGCACCAAGTATGTCAACAGCACCGGTGGGGCAGAGGTCGAAGAACATGAAACAGTCACTGTAGAGTAATGGCATGAGCCATCCTTGGGCAGGTGGCGGTGAAGGTCTCCCAGCTGGTCTTCCACGAATTTCGGGAGAATGGCGATGTCATCGAGTACAGCATCTCGAATCAACAGTGGGCTGCAGTCGATCATCTGACGCTTGCTTCGGCAACAGAGCTTCCCAGTTGAACCAGAGACCTACACATTGAGCAGGTATCTGTGGTCGAGGCTCGTTCGTTTGGAAGGACTCGTACCAGCTGTGACAGAATCGCAATCTCGTTTTGTCGAATTTCTTCAATGTGGTTCACAGCAGGATCAGCACTTCTACCTCGGCTGCCCCACAGACATTCCATTGCAGATTCTGCATCCGGATGGCTGCTTGGGGAAGCTTGGCGGTCTCTCAACGTTCACGGAAGGCTACAGTAGTCTGCTAGAAAGCTCGTTCGACCACCATCTCATACTTCATGTAGCTGCAGCAGCAATCCCAAGAGGGCCACACTGCACATGTGTGAGAGTCGCAATCACTGGAGCTCCCTCCTTCAAAGACAATGGCCGACTGTGGCACACTGAGGAGAGCTGTCAAGCTTTGCAACGGCAAAGTGCCATCCGATGATCCGGTTGTTCAATCAAGATGCTGCTGACCTGCATTTGGGTCGAGCCTAACCCTTTCCCTGCAGTGCGACTTCGTCGGCCTGCGGCGGGAAAAACTATTTATGAAGTGTGTGAGCTGGATACTGCACCAGCCGCTTCTGCACGACAATGAACAGCTTTCAATTTGTTCTGCACTGAGGCTTTGAGGTTTGAGCGAATTCACCACATCGCCATCTGAGAGTTGAAGCTTCGTGCCTCGAGTGGAGCAGGCTTTTGGCGAACGCTGACCGACAAGCTGACGAAAATGTCCCAAGTATTCTTTGCCCACATTGCTGCCGACATGTGTCTGTACGGTTCGCAAACGCACAGCCATGTGCGAAGGCGAGGTTGCACAGCATGCATCACATGTACCATGCCGCCACTTTCTGGCACCACGAGCCTGAACTTAGGAGAAGATCCTGTACACAGCAGTGATGAATTTTGAGGCCAGGCCGGCTCGAATGATTTGGATCACGTTTGGAGAAGCCCTCTGCATCGATGCGGTGCGTCCTGGCTCAGCGGTCCCATCGAGACACACTCCACATGCAAAAGGCTTATTGCTTCAAGCTTGACATGAAACTATCATCTATCTGCCGGCGCCTGTCTTTTCAGACCTGCACTGCTTTCACGGGTAGAAGGATCCGGTGAGCAATGGCCACGGATCCGCAAGTTCTATTCTGCGTGGTGATGACACTGCTGCTTCCGCTTCGTTTTCACACTACCTTGAGCCCCATCCAAGAGAAGCTGCGGCAGCCTTTCGGTAGCATTCGCTTGAATGCTGCTTGGAATGTGCTGTGCGTCACTTTGTCGGTTCTTGCATGCCGTCGTTGGGGCTTCGAGATGTGGCAGAGGGGTCTGCATGGAATGGTGGCACTCGCTGGGCGGGAAGTGCTCAGAACTGTATGCTCGCTACCGTACATCAGAGGCATCGTGCGCAGAGAGGTCGCCAAAGAGTTAAAGGCTATTGAAGTATCCATCCACGGCAATGGGGATCCTACGGCAGTGCTTGAGCTCCCAAAGCAGGGGCTCCCCCGCGAGGAGATCCTCAGGCGAATCCAGCTGGCCAGCGCTGCCGAAGCTGCAGAGTATGATGCCCGGCTGCACGGGCAGAGGGCGGGTGCTTTGTCTTGTTTGCCTATCACGACTCCATTGGGATGCAAGTCTGCTTCGCATGGGTGCCTCTGCCAAGGTGGGCGTCGGCAAAAAGTGGGCGGGTATCTACCACTCGCCGGTGGGGGAACTGGTGGATCTCCAGAACAAGGTCTGGGGCATCTACAACTGCTCCAACACCTTGTATGAGGGGGTGTTCCCCTCTGTGCGCAAGTATGAGGCAGAGCTGATTAGCTGGGCGGTTCGTCTGCTGAACGGCGCGAGATCTACTTGCGGGCTGTTGACATCCGGTGGAACAGAATCCGTGATGCTCGCGGCACTGTGCTACCGCGCGACCCTGAGTCCTGAGCTCTGAGTGTCTTTTGAAGAGAGGGCGGTCTTGAGTCGGAAGGAGTCGCAGCGGGAAAAGTCATTCTGTCATTCCATTGGGAGCAATCGAACGGAACACTTCTGTGATTTTCATCAAGCCGCATGCAACACGTGGCTCAGGTGAGCTTGGGCGGAGTCGCGGGATTGCCACACCTCGCATCTTGGCAGCCAACACCTGTCATCCTTGCATTGTCAAAGCCTGTCATTATTTCGGCATCACGCTGACGAAGATCCCAGTGGATGAGTCTACAGGCTTTGCACTAAGAGCCAGGCGAGTACGACGACACCTTACAGGTGATGTGGTGTGCATCTACGCCTCTGCACCTACATTTCCCCATGGCGTTGTGGATTGCATTGAAGACCTTGGCAAGCTTGCCGAAAGATGGGGTATTGGCCTGCACGTGGACAACTGCTTGGGCGGAGTTCTTCTGTCGTACATGGACAAGCAGGGCTTGACCGAACACCAAGCCTGGGACTTCAGGGTTCCTGGAGTCAGCTCGATCAGTGTGGATCTTCACAAATATGGCAACACCTCGAAAGGCGTCAGTGTCATCGCTTTCCGAGATCCAGCTCTGCGTCGCCTGACCTACGTCCCCGTGACGGATGGCTGTGAGGGCTTGTACGTGACACCCACCATGCAAGGGGCCCGAGGAGGGGCCGTCATCGCGCAAGCATGGGCGACCATGCTGTTCTTTGGGGATGCTGGCTATGCCAAATTTGCGGCTCGCATTCACAGGGCACACAAACTGTATCAGGATGCGATTGATGCTATTCCGGGCCTGCTCCTTGGATGCATTTTGTCAAGCGAGAGGGAGCCCCATCAGCCATAACTGATTCTTTCCTTGTCCTACTGTCCCACTGTGATCTATTCAGCCTCGACACGCTGGGGATTGAGTTTTGCGAGAACCTAGTCTGCGAGCCTTAGGCACGTGCTTTGCAAGTGTCATGCCTGCATCGTACCTGTTGGGTCCAGCAAGTACAACATCTACTCTGTCGCCTCTCTCCTGGAAGAGAAAGGTTGGAACTTGGCGACCGGACAGCTTCCACCTTGCCTTACCATTTGTATAGGAGAGCGGCACGACGAAATTATAAATGAATTTACAGCTGATCTGCGTGCAGCTGTTGACTTTCTGGATGCCACGCCATCTTACAAACCCTCCGGCGCAGCTGCGGTCTATGGGGCGATGCCGACAACACCCACTGCTGTCCTGGAAGAAGTTGTGCGAAGCTACGTGGACATGCGCATGTCGATCAAGCAAGCAGAAAGTTAGGTCTGTCTCCAACGCTCGGCTGCATGCCGGTCACGGAGCCGAACCGGCACCGTGCGGTCGAACCCACATCTGTGGTATCTGTTGCTTCGAACCAAAAGTGCCTAAGTTTTTGCCTGCATACGGAGATTCGCATTCGTGGAGGGTTCCTTGAGACCCAGCAGAGTAAATTTGTATTTGGTAGGGGTTGCATCAACACATCCCAAACTGGCGGCTCTGAGTGGGAGTCGAAACCCTCCTCTTCTCCGGCAGAGCTCGAGTGAGAGCTTTCAAACCCTTCAAAGCGATATTTAAAGCTAGAATGCACCACAGAAGTAGCTGTCATTGAGGAGCTTGGATTGTTTTGCCTTTCTGGGGCTTCCAAACCAGCACTTTGAACCCAGGCCCAGGTGGGCCGCGTTTGTTCCCGCCAGGCCGGCTTCGCCATGAGCTGAGGATAGGCTGCACTGCGCACAGCCGTATGGTTGTCGTCTCGCGGTGCGGCTGTAAAGTAGCGTCCTCGCCTTCAGCGACTTTAGCAGCTTTCGCCTCTCAGTGCATCGCGGAGTTTCAAGAGAAAGAAGCAGCAAAGCCTCAGGCAAGGTGTGCGTCTCTCCTCGTTCGGCAGACATGTCGCACGTGCGCCATGCACTGTATCATGTACTTGTATCTCTTGTTTGCAGCCTTGCTTTGGCTCTGTCTTTCTGAAGCTCTCAGTGGCCGTCGTGCAAAGGGGCGCTAAAAGCCAGAGCCCCGCAAGGGAGATTTCATAGACAAGCGGTCTGGCATCGCCTTTTTCAGGATGGCGACGGCGCCCCCTGGACAGGCGATGTCCAAGGACCCTAAGACTCAGTTGAACCTCGGCACAGACCCCGTTCTACTTGGTATGTCTCCAAGGATCCAAGAGGCCTTCAGACTTGAGAAGCCTTTGCAAGCTCTCCGACTTTACCGTTCTGCATCCGAGGAATCACTTCTGCCAGAGGTACTGCCAGCGACCTGTAACGAAGAGTGTCCTGGTCGCACCGTTGTTCATTTCACCTCATCGATTGCATGGCTGGCACACGGTCAAGTTTTCTGCGTTTGCTGTCGGAGGTGATATATCCTACACCACCAACAAGCTACTGGGCGCAGCATACAAGCAAAGTGATGTCAATTTGCACTTGCCTGGCCTTGCCCTTCAGTGGCATCGTTCTGGACCTCAGGTTTGGAAATCAGCACTCCAGCTGCATCTTTGCACTGGCTACACCTGCCAGAATCTGTCGTGTGTTGATTGAGCTGAAGACTTGTCGCGAGCGATTTTGCAAGTTGCGAAGACTCTTCAGTACTGCTGGTACCATCCAAAAAACAGAGTGCAGGCGTGTGCGCTGCAAGAAGCCCGAGATTCCGAGGTACCAAGCGATCGTTAAGCTCGATTGCATTCAGGCATGGAGACTAGCAGAAGCGGAAGCAGACTGCTCGGAGTGATCTGTGTGGCCAATGCCAGGGCCAGGAGTATGCTGGACATCTCTGCATCAATCAAAAAGATGCAGAAAAGCTGGGGACCGAATGCTGGGTGATTCAGGGTGCACTGTTTGCCGGGCAATCGCGACGCTGAGGTCCGCTGCGGAGCAGGCTGTCATGGCTTTCTCGTCACAGATGGCTGTGTTGAAGCCGCCCGTGCAGAGGGACTGGCCTGCTGGCTTGTCTCAGCAAATGAAGGGGCGGGGTTTGCTGTTGGCACGCATCGTTGTTCCTGAACGAGAGGACAAGAAGAGGAAGCCCCGAACTCCAGAAGAGATTGCTGAGCGCAAGGCACCGCACAGGTTTGCCCTAAGCAAAGACTTGCTCCCTTTGCACCGGCAGGCCAAGCAAGAAGCTGAGGGCAATCCAGCAATCACTCCAAAAACGCTGTTGAACGTGGCTGCCTCGCATCCCCACAGCTGTGGATGTTAAGTTGAGGCGGTGCAAGATAGTCAATCTGCAGCAGTCTTCTCTTGGCTTAGGCCTTGGTCATGAAAATCGCGAAGCGCTATCTCCAGAAGGACGGCGTGCACGGCTCGTTCGGCTCACGGCTCCAACGGCTTGTCAGACATGCCAGAGAGCCTGTCAGTACAAGATATAAGCGCAGGGCGAGACGGTATACGAGACGAAGACCTACAACGGCGGTGGGCATCAGGACGCCAGCTCAATGCTGCTGCACCTCACTAAAGTCACTGCTGCTATACAGAGACGTAATCATATAGCTTTTGGGATGAACTCGGCCGAAGGCAGCCTTAAATGTGGCACAAAGCAGGCCACAGTCAAGCTTTCTGCGCTGCCGGGGGAGTGGAGCGAGCGAATGTGGGCCGGACATGCGTCTCGGCTGCGATTTCATGCCGGCCGGGTTCTAGGACGTCGTCGCCACTAGCACACCACTTGAATGATCCACCTTTGTCGAAGGTCTGCACTACGAAGCAGAAGGCCCCTCGATTGCGAGCAGCTGAAGGGCTGACAGATCTTTACTTTTGATGTGATTCATAGAGAGTGCGCTGTGAGATGGGCTTGGAAGCGACTGGGTTCAGGCAGAGCAAAGTGCTGCAGAGATTGCGCTGGAATCGATCAAGCAGGACAAGGAACTCATGGAAGAAGCTGACAAGCCGAAAGGCTTCGGCAAAGGCGGCAAGGCTCGCAAAGCCTAAATCTCCTGGCCTCCTTTGCCAGTTTTTGAGCCTGCTGCCTCATGGTCAGTCGTGGCCAGGGCAAGGGCAAAGGCTTTATGTGGGATCCCTGGCAGTGGGGATGGATGAGCCTTGCCGGCAACTGGCGAACCGAGCCGCACCACTCGCGTCTGTCGATGTACCGCTAAACGGATGCAGCTTAGGTGGGGCATGCCCTCGAGCAACTCGCTTGCAATCAGCATCGCCCTTGTCTAGTCCTGCGTGAATCTGAGTCGTGGAGTGCGGGGGACAGGGATGCCCCAAGCAATGACTTCGCCGGTGGCATGGGCATTATCTTGCTTTGGGGAGTGATCTGTTTGAAAAGAGCACGAGCCGTGGGACGTTGTGCGGGGAACAGCCACTGTGCACAGTGCTGTTGTGTGCACGCCATATCGATACGCCACTTAGCTTGAGACACGTCAAATCCTGTTTGCCTGGTCGGTCTGTGGGCAAATTGAAGCTGGGGATAGGCACCAGGCAGGCTTGCGACGCTCCCGTCTGTTCAACTTGACACTGCTGCTGCTGATGCTGAAGTGCTGAACTGCTGCCGAAGGCAGCATTTTGCTTTCCAAGCCTTTGAGATTCGAGAGGGCCAGCCCAAGCTCTAGTCGTGCAATTCTTCCCAAAGGCCTCGAGACACAGCAGGCAGAGACGTCTTTAGTACGCAGAGACTTCAGTGCTGCAGGCGAACTTCCGCGCAAAGATGTTCTCACGGAGTCCATCACTGGTGAAGTCATTGAATGGAAGGATGATGTGATGAGCAGAAACCGCGTTGTCGAGAAAGGTAGTTTTCCACGAGTGTCTGCATGTGGCACCATTGGTCATTGGCGTTTCATGGTGACGTCTAGCCCTGGCAGGAGTCGCACGGCTGGATTAAGGCAGACGTCGAACTCGACCACAAGGCTGCATCTCGTCGCGAGGGCAAGATATTTGCCCTTCGGTTGCAGCATACGGTAGATTACTGGCTGTTTGTCAAACCAGCCGAGCCTGCGTGTTTTGCACCTGTGCATGAGCACGAGGTGGGGAAGTCCGACGCTCCGGAGGATGGACTGGCAGGGCTCCGAGGATTCTAGGACAAGGTCGAGCTCCCTTCGAGCATGTCCTGTTTCAGGTAGCTGGTGCAAAGGTGAGCTTCACGGTGTATGAGGACACGTTTGAAGACGCAGTTCTAGGCTGCAGTCATCCGTACGCACGACAGGACCCGCGTGGCCTTGGAGCGAAAGACTTGAAAGTCCTTTGAAGCCCCAGAGACGTGCAAGGTTGCTCGCCGCAAACATGTAAGGCAGTCAGAGTCTAGCGGAGGTTGACGTGGCCCCAAGCCAGATAGCTCACGTAATTATCATTGAGGTTCTGAATATCCAAGTGCTTCGTTCTGGATCTGTGCTGCTTGGCTTGCACTCACCTCCAACTGCTCACCAAGCAGATAAGGTCGTGAGATGGCTGCCGGAGTTTCCTGTCATTGTACTATGCCAACAATGGCGACACATGTCACCAAGGCCATGCCTCTCCGATGGCCATTTTGCCCAGCGTTCATAGGCACGCGTGCCTTTGTGCGAAGACCTCCAGTTGCTTGGACCGACAAGCCCCATTCCATTGCTGTCTTTCGCCGCTCTGTCAGGCTGGGTGCTTCGGTGCTTCCTGAGGGAAGACTTCACTGTATCTTTCCGTGTCGTTGTTTGGAATGTTGCACTGTACATGGGGAGATGCGTTGGAGATCGATTTGCTACTACGGTGAAGTTGGAGCTGACGGGTCGAGGCTACAACTCAGTGGAGTCAAGTCAGGCAGCAGATGGTCAACCCCTGAAATTTTAAGGGAGCGGCTGGGACACATTCATTCTTGCTGCAGCTTGAACCCATGCGCACCTGAACAGCCTCTTGTACAGCTCGTTTCTCGGAGAGGACGGCTTTATCTTGCCTTAGCCTGCCAGAACCTGTGCATTTTTGCATCAGATCATTGGCAGAGGTTGCAGGTCGTGTGCTCAGCAATCCAGGATAAGGCAAGTCTGCCACGCTGTAGATCTACGTACAAGCCTAGCTGCTGACAGAATCGCTCACAGATTGCAATCATTCAACCTGCTGAGCGAAGCCTATAACTTTGTACCGGATGAAAATGCTGTTTCCTGCTGTGGAGCGACAACTCACTCCTACCCGGGGGGACGTCCATGAGACCGTGGCGACATGAACAGTCTTTGTGAATCTGAAATCTTCTTCTTGGCCTGTGGCGTGCCAGGAATGGCAACGTGGGTCCGAGTATGACAGAACCCCAGTTCAGATTCCCTGGGCAACAGCACCCAGCCGAGCGGCTCAGGTCGTGGCTAAGCCGCAGACATATCTACCTCGTCAGAGGGCCTCGAGATATGAACGCATGCCTCGAAAGCAAATCTATGGCTACTAAGCTACTATCACCCGAATCACTGTAACAGGCAATGGTCGAGTATGGTCACAGCCGAACTTGAAGGTTCGAGGGCTTCATTGGCGAACTTGCACGTGCACCGCTAGCCATCACCAGGACAAGCGGCGCATGTACAAGAGTATTGAAATAACGACGAGCACCTTGCAGTGGGTGAGTCTGTATGTTGTGACAAGATGGGCTATGCGCAAATGCTCATCAGTAGCAGAAACATGATTTGGGTTGAGCTCCTCGTGTTTCGTGTGGAGGGCTGAGAAGTGGTACCTTCCGCCCGGTGCTATTTGTTGTTTCCATGGTGACACGCCGACATCTACAGCCATGGGCAAAAAGCAGAGCCTCCCTGCCCAACAGATGAGAAAGCTCTGGGGGCCTTTTGCACGCGGGCCCATGCCTAGTCTGAGGTATGTTTGATTTGTTGACTTTGGTCGGCGAGCACGTTTCATGCAATCTTCTTGATGCCATAGGCACCAAGCATCGGACTCATCGGCAAGAGTAGTTTCTACAACCAGCAACTGGAGGCAACAGATTCGGTTTTGAAGCCATCCTACAATTCTTACAGTGCTGCAGAGTCTCGTGAGCCTCGCAATTTCATTTTAAGATGTCTTTAAGCGATTATGATGCAGATCCATTGGTTCGAGCAAAGATCAAGAGCGACCAAATACCGTTATGTGCCAACAATATCCGCAGAGCGTTCATGGCCGAGGCAGTGCGCAGCCGCAGGCAATGTGAGGATAGCAGCGTAAGGTATCGGTATTGGGACTCAGAGTCAAACAAAAAACACAAAGCCTGACTCCTCGCCATTCCTCGACTGCCGTGGCGTCTTTGCCACAGAGCTTGGTTGCAGGAGCTCGAAGTGCAGTGTCCAGCATGAGTTCCAAAAGAGGCCGTGCATGCGCACTCGTTTCCGGACAATCTGTCAGAAGTGCGTCGATCTTGGTGGAGCAAGTCTGAATTGTGACGTGATCTGAAGGAAGATCGCCTCAGCTGTGCGACGGGAGCGCTGATGCCGAGAAGGCCATGCCAACAGACCATTTCTGCCGCTTTTCGATGGTCCAACTCAAGCTGTTCTGGCTTGGAGACCCATTGCCTTGTCGAGGATGGAGGAGACAAGAAAGAAGCCAAGAAGTTGAAGAAGCTTTCCTCATTTAGATGGAACAGCTGTGGTGAACCTTAAACGCTACAACTGGCTGCTCGTGCATTGCAGGAAAATCAAAAAGAAAGCAAAGAAGGAGGCTTCTTTTGTCCACATGCTACAAGAGCCAGACGGTAATTAGGTTAGACATGAATGAAACGGACCAGCATGCAAATTCACACTGCAGATGCTGATAGTTGTAACTGATCCACGGGTAGCTATCGTTCGTCTTGGCATCACTAGGGCCTCAGCAACTACTCTCACAGGACCAAGCATCCTTTGCCTTCTAAGCCTTTTCTTGCGCTTCTGCAAGGCAAAAAAAGCCAAGAAAGCTGCAAAGAAGCTGAACCGTGGGCTTAACTTAACCATCTCCGCCATGATGTCTGCAGAGTAGCCTGAAGTAGCTTGCCACTGAAGGAAGAAAATGCAGAAGCTCGTTCAAAAGAAGAAGGACGGCAAAAGCAGCAAAGGAATCAAGCGTCTTGGCTTTGCAGTTGCCATACATTTGGGAGAGGTTTCTCCCGAAAGGTGGGCTTGTGAAGGTCAGTCAAGGTGTTGCCAAGCTGGCTAAGGAGCGATTCAAGCAGTGATTCCTCAAGCTCAAGCAGCCTTCCATTCGTTGCCTGGCCAATGCTGAGTGAATGCTTGAGGGCAGTCTTGGGTCTCTAGATGGCTGTTTCCGAGCCGAGGTGATGGACATGGACTTTTCGTCGTCTGGCAAGGCTTGCCTCGCAGTGGGACATCACGATTCCAGAACACGGCTTGCCGAGCCGTGCAGGAACTTGATCCCCGAAATCCAGATTCCAGGATCCAGCGAGCACCGCTCCCAACATTTTGCAGCCGATGCTCTGAGCTCTGACAGCACCGACGGGTGCTCCTCTCCATTGAGGCCCTAGGCCTGACCTGTGGGGCCTTCTCTTTCATCGAACGGAAAGATGACGAGGAGGCATGGCCTCGAGATGTGACTTCCCTGTCTTGCCACAGCTCTTGGCTTCGTGACCTTCGTGAAACTCGCTGGTATAAAACACGGGGTTCAGATTCGGTGGAAAATGCATGGATTCGGACAGCTTATTAGATTCAGATGTGGTTTCGGTGAGCAACCGGAAGTTGGACATAACATAAAAGTGCCACCATCTTCTCTCAATTCACGCATGAAGGGTTGGGTTCCAACATCTTCTTGGCACTACGCAATTCTCCTGCCGGGTGGTGTTTGTCAGCCATGTCCGCCCAATTTGGCCAAGTGCAGGTGTACAAAGATGGACGCAAGGCGAAATACAAGGACACAGGGGCACACTGGTCAATGCACATGACAAGCATATGCACGAATCACCAGGAGGGCGAAGATCAAAGCAAAGACTGGATTTGCTTACGGTCGAAAGCAAACGGGGAGCCGCCTCTTTCCTAGACTCCGATAGGCTGATGGCTCTCATTGAGTCGGGACATCTTTGAAACGATCCGTCCGACTTTGCTAAGGTGTGGGGAAAGAAATTTCCCACGCAACGAGAAGTGCTTCCGGTGTGGAGGTTTGAGGCAGAACACTGCCCCTCTTGCCTCTCTGTGGCATTTACTGTTTGGTGAGGCTGCGTGTAATGCTTTGGAGTCGTACCTCACTGCCACGCTGCCGTGCGAAGGTTAGAGACTACAAGCCGATGCTTGCTCCAAATGAAGCTTTATGTGCCGGATCTGTTTCGTTCATGTGCACACAGCAGGGTGCAGCTATCGTTGGGTGTCTTGCCATGCCGTATATTGAGGAACAAAGTCGACGGGCGCAAATTCTGAGGTGATCTGAAAAGTGCTCGCAATCTTGCGCAAAGAGCGAATCATTTCGACAGGCTTTCGAAGGCTGACGTTCTGTGTACATTCTCCCATATACATGAACTATCTCTATTATCGGTGTAAAAGTAGGAAGGAGGGATTGTGCATTTCATATACGCTGTTCCCTGGTTTCGGGAACTGAAAAACTATATTGCCCGTTAGGCGAGGGAGGTGCATGGGTGATGCATAAAAGACGATATAAAATCTCAAATCGCGCAAAGGTCTTGCTTTCCAATGCCTTTTGGTCATGGTCATAGATAGTGCCTAAATTCGTCTTGAGCATTATATTCATACATGATGTCTTTTGTTTAGTCGCTCTGCTTAAGGAGTTGTTTTACGGTAAGGTGATGCGGGTAAATTTCATTATTTTATGCTGGCTTTTTTTTTCGGATAACCTTAACTATTGTCGGTGAATTTTAGAAATTTCTTTAAAAAGTGACTCGAAATAATATTAAGAATGAAATATAGTTTTGGCGAATATATAATAGAAATGAGTTCATATATTTGATAAATATTATCATATATTATATAAGATAAATTATGAGTATATCTATTTATTTTTCTATTATAAATTATGTATATTGATAGATCTATTGGTTTTTTAATTTCTTAAATAGTTGATATTACTGGCAAATTTTGATTTTTATATTTGTCTTAAATAAAGATAGATATGAAAATATGATATTTTGTAAAAAACTTTCGGAAATATTTATATGCCGAACATTACGATTTATTTTATGATAAATATTAAGAGTCTATTTTTCTTATATATTTCGTTGTTTTTTATTATAATTAATTATATTTTAATT